AAAAAAAATTTGTCAAAACTCAATTGGTCCTTTGTTCACAAGTACTACCCATATACCCATATATATTCTAGGCTCTTGGGTATTTTGAGATTTAAAATTTCTGCACTGTGAAATGAACATACTGGTAATATTATGTCATCAATTGTCTCGAGGTATTCATGAAACTCACTTGCTTCTATTTTTTATCTTCATGATAAATGACTACTGGCTTAGCTTTTCTGTTAGCAATTTGATGTTATTGATTAACCTTACAGTGACTAAAGATAAATATGTGCATTAGCAGTACTTTTTCCTGCATTTTCAATGACTAGGCTTGTATGTCTGTGATGCAAAAGCACTTCTTCACATTTATATTGCAATAACAGGTTTGTGTAGACCACTTTCAATCTGAATTCTTTGCACAATAACTTTGATCAGGTTTAGCTCATTATTTTACACATACATTTGGGCATGTTTTTGGTCAATAATCTTGAGGTCTATTGTTCCTACTAAAATAGGCTTTGGTGAGAAAAACATAACCACCACTGGTCAAAACTTCATGAGATCCTAGTTCCTCATCCTCTCTATGACTCTATGATCTTGTCTTATGACTTCAGAGTACTTCAGAGTAATAAAGAGTTGACAGACTGACTTGCTAAATGATTGATTTAAAATCAGTCACTTAAAAGAAGTTGGTATGTCTTTCTTTCTTTTTTGGTATTTCTTTTCTTTTAGACTTTCATGCATGTGCACTAATTAAGATATGTAATGTTAATTAATGTTTTTAGTTTTGTACAAGTGGACACATTTCTTTTAATCTTCCATGTATGTAATACTTATTAAGATGTATAATCTTAATTAAATTCGTTTTTTAGTTTTGACAGTACTGGTATTTGATACCAGGACTTCACTCTTGCTAGGCAGGTATTCTAACACTGAAGCACATCACAGTCCTTTTGTATACATGATTTACTTTTTAGAGAAGGTATCAATTTATCAATGTACATTCCTGGACCCTGATCATCCCACTTTAGGCTTCCCACTGTATCTAGGATTATAGGTGTATCCTTTCACACCCAGCCTTCTTCCATTGAGATGGAGTCTCACAAACTTTTCTTTGTTTAGGTTAGCATAGAACCACATTTTTCCCAATCCCAGCTTCCCCTATAGCTTGAGATGGAAGGCATACACCACTGCATTCAGGTATTGGTTAACAAGAGGCTTACAACTTTTCTGCCCAGGCTGGCCTTGAACTGCAACCAACTAGATCTCAGCCTCCCAAGTACCTAGGATTATAGGCATGAACACTGGTACCTGGTTTAATTAGCATTTTAATAATAATTTTTGATAGAATTTTGACTCTGGTGAAATACAGAGTAAAAACAGCAACTGAGAAATGTGTAACGTTAAAAATGTTCTGGTATTTATATAATTCTGAATTAAACCTCATTTTCATACTAGGAATCAAGAGTTGTTAATGTAAGAAAAATCTTTCAGGGATGAAATTGCTAGTAAGAAAAACAAAACAATAAAAAGTAGAATCATTGCTCAGACTTAATGTTTTTACAGGCAAGTTAGAGTCACTAGGAATTTTTATTATCAATGCCATTCTGTAAAAATGAGTTAAGCTGATGTACACAAGAACCCAAAGGATTAGATTATCTTCAGCTCAATTTTAGAATGCTAAATTAATTTCAAGAGAAATTAATTTAAGCAGTTGGTTAATCCTCGTATTACACCAAATCAAGCCATACTCATCAGCATTTTTGATCTGGTGATATAGTGAAAAGGGAAATGCAAAGGACAAGCTTAAGGAGTGATAAACCATGAATTGACAAGGCTGGCAGTGGCTGCTGACCCTGCATTTATGGCTTGAATGAAGCTGATTATTTGGATTCCACGTGGATTCCCACTTGTTTGATTTATTCAAAGAAAATTAGATGTAAATACCAAAGGCTAACTTCACACAATGGAATCATCAGTTCTTTTGCGGATGAATTTCTTATTCTCTCAATACTAGTATTTCTGTGACAAATTCTCCAAGAGCATCTTATGGTTCATATTCAGTAACCACAACCTACCTCGTATTACAAAACCAAAGGTATTGCCTTCTTTATGCAATGTGACCTCCACTGTTCGGAAAATAACACTTGATCCTTGTACAGCTGGAGAAGAGAGAGGGGGATATAAATGTTAAGTTACAATAAATGCCTTTTTTTAATGTGGCATAAAATACTACAAGTACTCTTGCATATGATTTCTCTTGACAAATGAGGAAGCAATAATTTGAATTCAATGGAAGATGTTGGAAGAGGGTAACATCTACCCTTTGTTAGAAGAAGTTCATTGTAATGACGTACAAATACACTATCAGTGACTCATGTAGATCCAGGTGGAACTCATGTCATAGCTAGTTCCTTATCTTATATGTAGACAGTTTTTAGACAGAGGGTGAAGACAATCTTCAGCAAGTGTATTTGTTTCCTTTGTGAAATACAAAAGTGATATGATCATGAAATAATTTCTACATTTATTTTTTTCTTCTGTATCTGGTAGAGGAAGGAAAGTGTTATGCTCAGCTCGAGATACATAGATTAGGGTGATGAAATAGATGCTCTAACAAGTACATAGCTATTGAATGCCCAAATGACTTGTAGACTTGTAGAGCAAAAGAAATCCTAAGTATATCTAAAACATTAAACATTAGTATTAAGAAAATAAACATTTACTTAATTTTACTTGGTATCTCCATGCTATGTTGTTTGCCTGTTTATTGTTCTTATTTCACAAAAAACTGCATTGCTAAGTTGCAATATCTAATTATGTTATACACATGCACGAGATTGTAAGTTATATGAAGACACAGTCACTGAAATATTCTGTAAAATTGCTTTTGTAAAACCAGTGATGAAATCAGATTGAATAACATATTATGGCTGCATTTAAAATGCAATTTCCACAAATTAGTATTTTATCATCATGAGTAGGTTTTTGTTTGTACAGGCAAAAATCTTGTGTGATATGCAGTAGATAGTTTTAGATCTGTTCCTTTAAATTTGTACCATAATATCTAATGCCATATTCATGATCACTAACACATGTTTACATTGTTCCTTATTCCTAAAGACCTTATTACATATAACTACCAACAAGAAATAAGTGGTCTGTGACTTACAATATTCTACTACAATTTCCAACTTTATGACAGTGTGTAAGCATTCCCCTATAACACTTGGTTTTCACTTTCACATAATATTCAATAAATGACATGAGATATTCAACACATTATTATAAAAATAGACTTATGTTATATGGTTTTTGCCTAACTGAAGGCTACTGTAACTATCCTGAGCATGTTTAAGGTCAGCTTGGTTAAGATCTGGTGTTTGATAGGTTAACAACATTTCAACTTATTAATTAATGATGGGTTTATTGAAATGTAACCTGATTGAAGCAAGGAACATTGGTATATAGACAGAAACTAAAGGAATTAGATGAAAGAAACAAAATCCTATTTTTCCTGCCATGAACAGAAATAGCTGATAGCATAAGCACTGATTAAAATTTTTCTTTTGTGCTGGTAATGGGGCTTGAACTTAGCCTTGGCACTGTTTTTTAGCTTTTTTTACTCTAGGCTGGTGCTCTACAATTTGAGCCATAGCTTGACTTCTGGCTTTTGGCTGGTTAATTGGAGATAACAGTCTCAGAAACTTTCCTGGCCTATGCTTGCTTTGAAATATATTCCTCAGATTTCAGCCTTCTGAGTAGCTAGGATTACAGGCATCAGCCAATTGTGTCCAGCTTGAAAATTATTTCCAATTATCAAAAAATCTGAATCCTTAAAGGAGTATTATAGAAATGAGTAAGAAATACATATATTTAAATCCCCCCAAAACAGTCTGAGGTATAAGTTAGGATGCACACTGTCAGATCAAGATATAAAGTATAATAAGAACTTGGATCTGCTGAAAAGCAGCATATGCCTACAGCTGAACAAATGTTTTGCTATACTGCTGATTTAATTAAATGTCATATTCTTGTTATCAGGGGAATTTCAGTTTATTCTAATCAACTAGGAATAGAACATACAAACAGCTGAAAGAGTTGAGGTATAGTTTTAATTAAACGAAAAAACAATATTAGCTTTATACCAATGTTTTCTTACTGTCCATGACCCAAGAACAGGATGCTTTCATCTTATTGGTAACAGAGGAAAGCAAAGGGTATGGCAAGAAATAACTGACGGGCATCTATTGTGTGCCCAGAACTCTGCAAAATGGCTTGCAAATATTATTTTATTTAACTGTTAAATCATCTTTCAATTATATACCACCAAATTCTAATTCTGAGCCACCTGTTCTTGTTGGCTAGATGTCTGTACTGGGAATGCAAAGCATTGTATTTTAAATTTTGTTTTAGCTAAATCTTGTTGACCACAAAATCTTACAGTCAAAGCTAAAAATCTCTATAAAGACTTTGGGGATTATCTACAGCTTTAAATTACTTACACTTTGGCTCTCCATCATTTAAAAAGATACATGTTAAGTATTGACTACCTTTTACTATAATAAATGAAGTAGATTTGTTCACTGTAGTTTTAATTTGTATGACTAACTCTTGGTGATAAAGCCAGGTGCATGTTACCGATTACCTCACACATATGCAAGCTGAGGAATTAAAGGGCTAGATACTAACCATTTCACAATGCCAAACTTCAGTATTTACATGTTCTGTTGTTCCAGAAGTATGTGAATGCACATGTGCTGCTACAAAATCATGATGCCCTCTTCTCTCACCCTCTCATCCTTCACCTCCGTAGGCAGGTAGGAGTGCTGCAATTTCCCACCACATTATGCCACCCTTTCCTGCCTGACTTGCTTTTTTCCATGGTGAGGTTAAGTGATATAAGGAGAAACCTGAGAGGTGCTCAGTGTGTCTGGTTTTTTTTCCTCAACAGAGAAAGTGTCTCTGAGCACCAGTGCCCCTAGATACTCAATCCCAGAATGAATTTCATGGGGGAAAACTTGACTCTCTTTTTCTTCACCATCACCACCTCTATTTATGATCCTCACCTAACATCTGTCTGTCTGGGTTAGAGCTGAGAAGAGAGCTTTCCAGTGCCATGTGTTAGCACATTTATTTGATCTAAAGCTAGCTTTCTCCAGCGGGTGGTTAACAGTGAAGAGTGCTTTTGCTAATCAGATTATGTGGCAGACCTCTTTAATTAAATAAGGTAAATCTGTAGCTCCAAGGTTTAAATAGAAACAGGATTTAAATAAACATGTCAGAAATTAGGTTCTTTCCAACTAGGAAGTTTAGGAGCCAGGTGAAAATGGATCAGATTATTTAATATTTCAAAATTCTGTAGGGGTTACGTGACCACAAAATTGGAAGATACTGCTCCTGACTAATTTGTATGCATAAATCCCTAAGGTACCACTTTGGGCACAGTCTCTCTCTAGATACAAGCTCAAATCATCACACAGTTTCCAGGTTAAGAACGATAAAACGAATGTAGATCAGTAATTTCCTTTTTTATAAGGAAACTGAGTCTCAGGGAAGATAAGCAGATTGCCCAAGATCAAACTTCAAATTTTTTTTTTTCCTCTATCAGATCTCACATACACATATCCTTATTTCAGTTCTTTCTGAACTCTGGGGATGGCTGGACCTCAAATTGCTATGATCTAGAGAGGAGTTACAGTTTTGACCTTGGGCAGCTTATCTTTCAACATGCAGTTCTGGTCTCAGGGTCTCAGTTGTGGGGGGCTGTTTGTTCTAGCAGTTGGAGCCAAGTGAGGGCCCGTGAATCTTTTCAACTTCCCTGAACTCAAGTATCTATTAATTTCATCAAACATAATAAAAACAGACAGGGAATATCATTGGAGAATGGATTTCTTCTGTCTGATTTCTACCTGGGAGACCTACACGTGGGTGTTTAAATGTATGTTTCCCTTTTTTCTACTAGCTTTATTGCCTGAGAGAATAAAGCTGATATAATCACCAAGTCATGATGGGCTTTTACTCATAAACATTTCTCTTACCCACCTGATCTCTTTAACTCTACTAATACTATGTTGATTTAGGATATAGTTTTCTTTTGGAAAGCTAACAAGCCCTTCAGGGTAATAGCCTCTGATCTATATTACATTTGGCTTCCCAAATGATTATTCTAGAAATGTCTATCCACTGAATGCAGTTTCCCCCCCAGCTTCTAGCTGACACCTGCATTCTTTTTTTATTTCTTTAATTTTATTGTCAAGGTAATGTACAGAGGGGTTACAGTTACATAAGTAAGGCAGTGAGTACATTTCTTTTTGAACTTGTTACCCCCTCCACCATTTTTTCTCATATTTCCCTTCCCCACAACCCCCTCCCCAAAGTCGTAGGGATCATTTCCAACATATTGTCTTGTGAGTATCACTGTTGCATTGGTTACCTCTTTGTCCTTTGTCTCACCATTTTGTTATTCTCCTTCCCTTCCCTAATTCAGATAAACGTATATGCAAATACCCAAGGTACCAAAATCAGGTACAGTGACAGCAAGGGATAAACCATAGGGGGAAAATACAAAAGAAAAAAGAAATCATGTTTTGAGTCTCTAAGGACTCCTGATAGCACAGTTGATGTCATCCTTGATCTTTGTCACAGTGGTTTTTGCTTTCTTCATTGGCCCCATCTCCATCTATGGTCTCTCTGTTTTTCCCATTGTTTGCCAGAAACTCCAACCTGCGGTTTAATGTGTGTATTACGCTGTATCATCTCGCCTTCCTAATGCACCTGTGTGTTGAATAATCCCTTCCTACTGGATTGTCACTATTTCCTTGAGTCTTTCCTCAGCTTTCATCTGGGAGTCATAGGTGATACTGGGCAAATCTCCACAGTGGGCTTCATGCTAAGAACTACTAGCAAGGGGCTGTGTTTTACTGATATTTACATATCCAGCAAAGTGCAAATGGGTAATTAGGGAACACTGGCTCAGATATCCGGTTAACTCCTTAGCAAGGGAGATTGTGATTTTGAAGCAAACTGACCTTTCTAAAGTTCAATAAAGCACAGTAATTTCAGCATAGTAGCAGTAGTATAGTATAGTAGTCATAGTAGTAGTAGTTGTTGTTTTTGTTGTATAATATTAAGGGTGAAGAGTCTTAGTTATTTCCCAGGTATGTAAGAATATGTAAATGATTATGTGAGTAAATTCTCAGAAACATCCAATAGTGGCTCTAGCCATTTTTACAGGTGGGAAACTTAAGGCTCAGAGAACTTAAATAACATACTCGAGGCCACAAAACCAACAACACAGATTTCAAAGGTAGTATTTGAACCCTGCCCCCCAACCCCCACAACAAGTCAGCTCTTGCCACATTCTTGTTTCAGCTGTTAATAGTACTCCATCCTTCCATTTACTCAGGATAAAAACATTGGGGTATGCTGGAATCCTCTACTTCGGCACAACTCACATCAAATCCATCAGAAAACTGTTATACTACCTTCAAAATAGATCCAGAATCTTGATTGCTTTTCACCATCTCCACCACTATCACTCAGCTGCACTGCTACAGTAACCAGCTAACTTGTCTCCCAGTCTTTGCCTTTACTCCCTGCCCTGTAGTTATTCCCAGCACAGCAGCTAGAGAGAGCCTTTGAAACACAAGCAGGTGATGTTTTTCTTCAGTTTCAAAGCATACTGTGGCTTTCTCTTTCATTCAGAGTGAAACTTGAGGTGTTTCCAACCAGCAACCAGGATATGTGATACCTTATACCTCTGACCTCATCTCCTAATTCTCTTTGTGGTCATTCCGCTTGAGCCATATGTCCTTTCTGATTTGCCCCAAACAATCTCAGGTATATTCTTGCATTTTTGAATGTAGCACTGGCGGTTCCTTCTTCCTGGAACCTTCCTTCTTTCTGATTTCTTTTTCCCATAGGAAACTACATAATTCACTTATTATAGTTTTTGTTTTTCTGTCTTCCCCTGTTAGAATGCAAACTCATAGCATGCACCCCAGTTTCCTAAAATGTAGTGGTATCTGGAATATAGAAAATGCTACTTAATTACTAGCCAAATGAATTATTACCACCTGTTTCTAATCAGTCTGAGTGTTCATTAGGAGAGCCTTCTAGGATAGCTTAAGCAGAGAACTGGTGCTAGAAATGCATGGCTTAAAGGCAGGGCAGCAGTAGCATGTAACATAAGGCCTACTTCACAAGAATAAATGCATGGACTTTGGAGTCAGACACTCCCCATTTAAATATGTACTTTGCACCCTACCAATTTGGGAAAGATGTTTAAGTCTCTATAAAATGACAAAAAGAATGGTAATGTGAATATCTTGTAGTAGTGGTTGGTCAATTATTTATCAAAACCTTTTTATTGGTCTAGCTTCTGTTATTTCCCTATCAAATATTTGAGTCAGAATTAATATTATTTCTATTTGAAATATGGAGAAATGAGCAGAAAGTTTAAGCAACTTCTTCAAAGGAACACAGCTGGTAAAAGGTGAAGCTGGGCTTGGAGCTTGGGTATGTTTTGTGGTACTTGACTTCAGATTCATGGCCCTGAACTTGCTAGACAGAGATGATCTACCTCTTAATCGAATACCCTTATCCCCCAACTCTTTTTTATTTTATTTAAAAAAGTTATTGAATAGAATGTTGTTGGTCTGAACCACCTATGTTGCTATTTGCATTTTTCACACAGGATATCAGCTATGTACCACCATAATGATATTTTTATTACTTGAGATCAGGTCTAGAACTTTTTGCTTTTGCTCAGGTTGGTGCTGAATCGCAATCCTTCTGAGTACTGGGTGTGAGCCATCACACTGGACTAGTTCTGGACATTTGATGCTAAAGTTTGTCTTCGTTGACCCTTCTATGTGGTGAGAATTACATAAACCAGAGCAACATATTTAGTAAGTATTCTAAGTGCATTGATGGCCGGTTATTACTATTATTATTACTTGAGAATAATGTGATTGAAGCTACCTTTACATTTTAGGTATAAATATCTATACAGAGTTAGTGTAAAACTTGCTAGAACATGCTTTTCCTTAACCAAAGCACAAAGCTTTCACAGAACTTAATGCTCAAAAAATTTTAAATATGATCACAGTTTATTAAAATAGCTTAAGTAACCAAAATGATGCTCACAGATCACCTTACTGGATCAGGGTATGCCAGATGATTTCATTGTTACCTGTGATTTTTATGTTCTTCTTGAAGAGATTATTCAATTTTCAGTTCACATAGCTTTTAAGTATCGAAAATGCTGCTCTGCCATTGCTGTAACAAGACACTGATGGCAAAATGGAAAAAAAAAAGAATCCAATCGCTTGCAGAAGCATTGTGTAGTCTGCCACTGAGTTGTAATTACTTACAGACTGGTGGAAGTTCATACTCCACTTCAAGAACTACTCGTTCCCCAACATTCTTCAGCAAGCTTATGATCTCATCATGGCGGAATTTGGCCAGGTTGATCCCATTCACTGCTTTGATGTAATCGCCTACATCCAGCTGGTCACTTCTACAAAACAGATAACATTACTTTAGTGGACTCATCTTCTATAATCCAGATCTGTTTTCCACTTTCTTCTCAACATAATAAGGAAGACTAACAGGTGCATATAGCAAAGCTCCTGTCTCATAGGATATGATCAGACTAAGAGCATGGAGGAGACTCTATAGGTCCTGTCTACTCATGCTGCCTGCCTGTTACATTCTGCAAGTCCTGCTCTGGATGTACGATGACCTAGGGAATTTTCTTTTAACCTTTTTTTTTAAAATTGTTTTGTATATTTATTTTTGGCTCTTTTTCTTTTGAGACAAGATCTTACTGCTTGGCTCAAGTTGGCCTCAAATTCATGATCTCATGATCATCCTGACTTAGCCCTCCTCCTCTTGCTGTACTTCTTTCTTTTAGAACACTATAAAACAAAATAAAGAGAAGCATGTTTTGATGCTAGACCCTTACATTGCTGATTCTCTAGGAATGGACGCAGATCCCAAATATTCTAAGATACTCCAGATCTTTCTCATTCCCTCTCATTTATGTTTCCTGCCATTTGGGCATTTTGGCTTTTACTGTTTTCACTCAGATTATCTTCAGAACCAAGGGAAGGGTCAAAAATCTTTGCTAGTTGTTCTTGTTTTTGTTTTGTTTTTGATGGTCGTGGAGCCTAAGTGCTCTTCAGCTCAAGGCTAGCACTCTATACGTGAGCCACAGCACCACTTCCGCCTGTGGTGCTGAAGAATGTAATCCAGGGCCTCATGCATGCAAAGCAAGCACTCTATCACTGAGCCACCTTCCCAGCCCCCATTCTTGTTTTTTTTTTAATTTATTGTTAGTATAGAGGTGATAGACAGAGGGGTTACATTTACACGTATCAGGTAATAAGTACATTTCTTTTCCTGCAGTATGATCTGTTCCCTCATTCTTTCCCATTCCCATCTCCACCCATGAAGTGCATAATTCACTTTCATCAATGTCCATTGCATTCCATTGCTGATTCTTTCACCCTTTTTCCTCGGATTCTGTGCCCTCCCTCACCCTCCCACAGATGTGCATGTGAATATATCATATATAAGAATGCAGAATCATCATAAAAAGGGAAAAATAAAAAGCCCTTTGTTTCCATATCTTTGGAGTTTGTTTTAGTATGCATATTATTTTCTATATTTATGAAGAAGTGTTTGGATATTGCAGCTTTGTGATTCTCTCCTAAGACTATCCTCTTAGGTCTCACTGTATGTGAGTATCTACAATCCTGTGTAATTTGTCATGTCCCATTGCATTTTAATCTAACTTCCGAATGTCAGAGAGAACATGCTCATCATTTGTCTCTCAGATCTTGGTTTACCTTGTTCAACATGATTTGTTCTAGTTCTATCCAATTCCATTTTGCTAATCATTCCTTACTACTTCCTTTGTTGACCATTATTTGGAAGGATTGATTTAAAAAAAAAAGGAATATTGGGAAGAAGAAATAGCATGGAATTACTGAGTTTCAGGACATTCCCACTCTCTTTACCATCACATCACAGTGCTGGCTGCCCTGGAACGTGTAGTCAAGTCTTGAGTACTACATTAAGAGTTGGGACTGAGGGCTGGGAAGGTGGCTCAGTGGTAGAGCGCTTGCCTTGCATGCCTGAGGCCCTGGGTTCGATTCCCCAGCACCACATAAGCAAAAAGAAAAAAGCTGGAAGTGGCACTGTGGCTCAAGTGGTAGAGTGCTAGCCTTGAGCTGAAGAGCTGAGGGACAGCGCCCAGGCCCAGAGTTCAGGCCCCACGACCAGACCCCCCCCCCCAAAAAAAAAAGAGTTGGGAGTGAGGGCAGTGATAGAAGTCAAAACTGTGTCACTGCAAATGACCTTCAATGACATTGCCTCCCTAATTAGAAATAGTCAATTAATTCATTTTATATAAATCTAGTTGCAATCAACCCCCCTAGAAGAGCCTCCCCCATCTGCCCAGCCTTCCCCTCATGAAGTTATTTCCAAATTGGCCAGACTGACTCTCAAAACCACCTACCTGCCTGAAAGCTTGGCCAGTATTCCTGGGTTCTGCTTTTTTTTTTCTTTCTGTATGTATTGCTATTTTGTTTTTACTTTTCTCATGCTTTTTATACCTTATCTTCTCTAATAGATTAAAAGCCCCTTCAGTGCAAGGATTTTTGTCTTGTTTTAATATTTGTATCCATGTAGCTGGCACAGTAATACTTTTTTCCCTTCTTCTGATACTGAGGCTTGAATGAGGGCTTAGGTGCTGTCCCTTAGGGTTTTTTTGCTCATAACTAGCACTCTGCAGCTTGCACCACAGCTCCTCTGTTTACTTTTAATGATGACACTAAAACAATCACAGATAGCCTTTTTTTTTGCCTTGTTTGGGCTAGACATGAAGGAACTCAGAGATATAGGAAAGCCTAATATCATGGATTGGCATGATGACTGGAAAATACAGGTAAACCGTAAACTCTGTGTCCTCAAGGCCAAAGGAGACAGATTAAGGTGCTGCAGCTCATGTCACCTCTCTCTTCAAATCCTGCCCACTTTGGATCAAAGAACAATCATCTGGCTTAAGCTAATCCTTTGTACAAACAAATTGATCATCCAAAGGAATTACTATTTCAAATGATTCTTTATAGGGTAAGAACTCTAAAATTTTCTTATGTGGACAAGAACACTCATGTCCAGGATTTAAGGAATATTAATCTCGCTGGATCATTCCATCTCATCTTTCTGAGGTTAACCAATTATCATGATTTTTGTGGTGCTGGGATGGAACCCAAGGCCTCGCACCTGCTAATCAAGTGCTTTACAAGGGAGACACCTTTGCCCCCAGTCCTTCTGAGATAAATTTAGAATTATTCTATAAAGCAAGCTCATCCTTTTCCAGAAAGGAGGGCATTCCACCTTTGACCATAACTAGAAACAGCTCCTTCTCTAAGTCTCTGTCCTTTGGGAAACCTTCATTGTTTTCTTGGTGAAAAGGTAAGTGTCCCAAGTAGAAAGGTACATTTTTTTTTTTTTTTTTTTTTGCCTTGGGAATACAAGATTTGGGCCTCCCTCTCTGCCTGGGCTGCCATTTTTCATCTGTCGCAGTTTCCTCAGACATGCCATATGGGTCATCTGCTTCTCATTTACATGATTCCAGTGTCTCCTTCCTACTGCAACCCATCTGGTGTTCAGTGGAACAATTAGATCTCGATCGATATAAGCTTGTTAAAATGAAAATCTTCTGAGTGCCTGGTTGCGCCTGAGATGACACAAACCTCTCTCTACTGACTCTGGCGTAAGCCAGAATAGCCACAGGCAGGTCAGGTCTAGGGGGCAGCTTTTGAAATACACCTGCTGAGCTTCTGCTGGGCAGATGGCAGCTGTCATTTATTTATTCGTGACCTTTGCTGATAAAGCTTTCATTTTTAATTAATTACACCCTGGATTCCACTTTTCTGCATGTCCCCATGAGACAGTTAGTTACCTGGCAGCAATTCCTCCTTGCCGTAGGTTAGACACTCTTGGCTTTCCATCTTTATCAATTCCTCCTGAGACGGTCAGACCCAGGGTGGTGCCTTCCTTCTTCATCAGTTCTACCACGGTGGAGCCTTTGAATTCCTCTGTAAAACAGAAGCATTTGCCTTATTAAAGAGAGTGGAACCGTGGGGGTTTTGTATGTAGTGAGGAGCCTCCATTCCATTAACTCCATGTTTTGTTCTATGAGGAAAGAGCTCTGTGGGTCCTTACACTGTAGATGACAGAGTGTTTCCTCATAAGACTTTGCATGCAGATAATGCAGACGTTGTCTAAAATGGTTAATAAAAAGGCAGCACTGGGGAGTTCACTCTAGGTTCATAATAAATAGTCTGAATTGTCTTAGGCACAAATGACAACATTCATTCTTGTTTTCTGCCATTCCTTGGGAATTTGCTTTAGTATATCTCTTTTTCTGATTCTGAATGGAGCAGCTGAAAGTTGTCAGGTGATGAAGAACATAATATTACATAATGCATACAGCGTAGTAGTAGACTCCACGTTCATGGTACATTTCACCTTAGAAAGCCTACTGACAAGAGCAGTGAGCTTTACCAGAGCAAGAAAAAGTATTATTGATGTTTACTTGTATTTCGGAAACAACATACAACGGCACAGTGTCAGTCTTACTAGTTCTTTTTTGAATATTTCACATATGGCAAGGCAGAGCTGGTTGGTCCTCAGAATTTATGGGTAACTGCTCTAAATCTCTCATTGTCTATTTATATTACCAAAGCTTAAAGTCTCACAGATCTTAAAGGAAAAATGTTATGCATCAAGTGGAAACTCAAATCTTTTTATTTTAGTTAAAGCAGAAGACAAGAAAATGATTTATTTGTTCGTTTTATTTACATACACATTGCCAGTCCTGGGGCATGAATTCAGAACCTTGGGTCTTGCTTCAGTTTTACTCTGAAGCCTGTCACTCTAACACTTGAGCCATACCTCCATTGCTGGCATTTTTTCTAGTTAATGGGAGTTAAGAGGCTCTCAGATTTATATTCCTGGTCTGGTCAATCCTCAGATCTAAGCCTGCTGAGTAGCTAGAAGTGCAGGTCTGAGCAACTTGTGCTGGACTTAAGAAAACTTTAAGGATAATCTTCCCTTCAGAAACAAAAATGAGAAGAGCCAGTATATACCTATTTAGAGATTAATTATGAGAAACACTGTTTTAGACTTTTCCATGATGCTATCCCATTTCCTCTATCCATACACTTTCTGGGTATGGATTGGAAAATAGTTCTTCAACTTCTCCTGAATCAACTTCTGATTTTCAGGGTTTATAAGCTTTTGGAGCATCCACAACACTTAAAATGCATGAACAGACATATTTTCAAACCCAAATGTAAAAAAAAAAGTAATTTGCACACCTTTGCCCTTTCCTTACACTAACAGTTAATTATATTTTTGAAACACTCAATGTTTATCATAAAGCTTCCTAAATTGTTGTTGCTGGTATGTTATCCCACCAGGCAATGGGAAAATTAAATCATGTAAAGGATAGAAATAATCTCTCATCTGATGTAGTGAGAGGAACAGACTACTTGGGAAAAGGAAACAAGGAGTGGAGTATAGCTCAAGTGGAGAGAGTATCAATCTTGAGAAAAGAAGCCAAGCTAGAGCCTGAAGACCTAAACTCAAGGCCCAGGACTAGAGCACGCTTGTGCTTGCACACGCGTGTGCACATGCACACACACACACAGAGGAAGCAAGGAGCATCAGGTCACTAACTTCCTCAGTGACAGAGGGAAAGTCATTCCAGGCAGAGCTGGGAGGATGTCTGTGTTTCGTTCATTCTTACCAAGGACTCTGCACAGAAGAGCGCTTCCTGTTCTTTGATAGAAGTCAAAGGAGAGGCTATGTATGACGTTGGCTACATCCATTGCTTCATCTATTAGAGTCCTATTAAAGACTGAAATTCAAAAACCAAATTCTTTTTGTGTGTGTGTGCTGATCCTGTAACTTGAACTCTGGGCCTGGGCCCTGTCCTTTAGTTTTTCATTCAAGGCGGGTGCTCTACCATGTAAGCCACTTCTAGAGTTTTGGTGGTTAATTGGAGATCAGAACCCCAAGGATTTTGCTGCCTGGGCTGGCTTTGACCCATAATCCTTAGAACTCAGACTCTTGAGTAGCTATGGGTATAGGGCATGACTATAGGTGCCCAGCTTAAGAATCAGAATTCTTATTGAAGGCATAAAGTACCAGTTCTTTTAACTCAGTTGCAAGAAGCATTTGTAATCTACCCCACCATGATATATATTTCACCCATGCCCCTTAAAAAGCAAACAAAATAACTTGTCACATATATTATAGAAACTAGAAATGATGTACATGGGAATAACAGATGCCTGGTCCTTTGTTAAGGACTTAACCTTTGCTAAGGCATTATCTTGTAGTTGAATACAAAGTATAAATTTATTATAAAATTGAAATTAGTAGTTAAAATAACCAAGATGAAAAAAATAATGAAGATGAAATAGTAGATTGCAACTATTTCCCCAAGAAGCTGTAAGGTGTCTCTTAACTGTACATCCATTGATTTGGCTACATTAAAAAAATTACTTCATTGTTATAATAGAGGTGATATACAAAAGGATTACATTTACATGAGTCAGGTAATAAGTCTATTTCCTTTTGTACAGTGGCATCTCTTCCCTCATTCTCTCCCAGTCCCTCCCTCCCAGCTCCACCCACAGGCTGTATAGTTCACTTTCATCTATATCCAGTGTGCTCCACTGCTGTACTTTTTCACCCTTATTCCTCCTGTTCTGTGCCCTCCTTCCCCCACCCTCTTGGAGATATACATGTGAATACATTGTGTATAAGGTAAAGAATACAGCATCATCAGAAAAAGAAAAAATGGAAGCCTTTTGTTTCAATGTCTTAGGAGTTTGTTTCTGTATATACATAATTTTATATAAATACAAAGAAGCGCTTAGGCACTGCACCTTTGTGATTGTCTCCGAAGGTTATCCTCTTTTGGTCTCACTGTATGTATCTAGAATCCTGTGTAAATTGTCATATGCCAGTTGTTTTAGATCTAACTTCCCCATATCAGAGAGAACATGCACGATTTGTCTCTGATTTTGGCTTACCTCACTTATGATTTGTTCTAGTTCCATCCATTTCCCTGCAAAAGACATTATTTTATTCTTTCTAATGGCTGTGCAAATTTTCATTGTATATTTTTTGGATCCATTCATCTGTTGTGTGTATTTGGCTACTTTTGAAACTAGCAATAGTCAATTACCTCCTGATTTAAAATATTTGAAATCTTTTCCTAAGTGCTAGTTTTAATCGTGAGGATGAAAGAAAATATTTATGCTTCTATTAATTAGGTCATTTGTGTCTTTATTGATTCAGTGAGTTATTGAATACCTACTTCAAGCCCATCAATGAAGCACAGAGATAGAACATGGTAAGGCCATTATCTACAGGATGCCCACAGCCCAATAACAAAGGCAAAGTCACAGACACTGTGCAGTGTGACTCGTGAGGAAAGCAGACAGAGGAGACCATTTGGGAAACAGGTAAATCAAAGGCCTGAGCTTCCATTTGCAACATCTATTTCACAACTTTGCCTTCCAACCAATCTTGTATACTTATTGATTAGGACTAACCGAGCAGTGCAGACCAAAGAAGGAATATAAATTAGGCAAAGCTCAGGAGTAAAGATAGAATATTGCTGCAAGAAAATGTGCTGAATCACAGGATTGTTAGCTGCTAATAAAGTAACTTCATTCCCCAAGGAATGACTAAATCTGTTGGGGGTGTTTCCAAAGGATGCAGGAGAGAAGAGGAGGTCTGGGAGAGGGAGGAACCTGCTTTGAGTATTTGCTTTCTGCAAACCTACAGGCTGTACAAGTCATCCATCACTTTATGTCTTTTTTGGTGTTTAATGTTTGCATAATGATCTCATGGCAAAGAGAAATGAAGACAGATGCATTCATTTGCATGAGTTCACTTATATATCAAGACTGACGAAACAAACTCTGAAGTAATACGGGAAACTTGGGCAAGTCCGTCTGTACTGACAGCTTCTCTCTTTTGTGATTTAAATTGCAAATATCTCTCCCTAAACAAAAAGGACTCCTGGCAAACATGACATGCTGTCCCACTTAGCAAACAGCAGATGATACCCAACTAGCAAAGAATGAGATGGTTCTAGGTTTGACGTATTCCTTCATCATGATAGTTAATTATCTTAGGAAATAAATTGCAGGTTTACATCTGTACCACTAACCATCATGGATCTCACTGGGATGTCATTGTTTGCAGTTTTTTCTTGGGGCATGAAATTCAATCTTTTAAGTTATTCAACTCCTGAAGGTGTTAAGAAAAGTAAGATTGAAGCTTGTTGAAGGCAAAAAAATTATATGAAATTCTTACAAACAATAATAAAATTTGGTTGTGTAGATTTTTATAAAATGTATATATATACCTACTTGTATATATAAAAATACAAATTCTATATAATATAAAAATAAATTACATATATATATATATATATATATATGTATTCCTGATAGCTAAACAACAGTCAGTTAAATGTCATTGTAGAAAGCAAGGATACCTCTTCAATTGGAAGATCAGAAGTGGAGCTGTGTGGTTTAAAGTGCAGGGAGTTTTCTTTTCAGCAAAAAAGCCAAGTGAGAATGCTAGGCCTGAGTTCAAGCTCTACTACCAGCATCCTCCCCCAGATTATTGTGCAAGATCTATAGTAAGAAAAAGAACTTCTGAGGGATATAAAGCAAAAATAAATGTAAAGACATCCAATTCAGCCATCCAATATAAATGGAATGCTTACTCTGTGCCAAGCAGTGTTTTAAGGACTGGAGATGTAACACGGAGAAGCAGTTGACATCTTTGTCATCCAGGAATTAATATTCTAGTGGATTGTATGATCTAACCTAAAACAGTGTCTATTTTCCTTAAATTTGTCTCCAAGTATATCATCAAAAAGTGCCAATACAATATGTTTTGGCCTAAGATATATATTACATTATTACAAAAGTAAAACATGCGTCCTCGCAAAGAGCTTGTGAGAAAGTGTGCTGTCAAGGTATATTAGTTTGTCCTTTGAAAT